AAATAGAGCTTTCTTTCGGTGGTATTTGATCACCTGTGCGCTTTTTATTTTTCACGCTGTAAACATAAAAAGGCCAAAAATTTTGAAGAAAAAACAATATTTTTTACTTTCAGCTATAAAAAATATATAATAAACTCAAAGTTGGTTATAAATTTAGGCCAAAATGTATTCTGCTCCATGTTTTTGGTAAAAAAAAAAATCCCAATAAGTGTATATTGATTGCTTTGTGTGAAGTTATAGCGTCTACAAACTATGGTATAGATACTGCAATTTACGCCATTTTTCTGCTATACAGCGCTGCGCTAGTTTAACGGACAATTGCGCAGTCATGCAATACGGTACATAAATGAAATTTACATCCTTTTTTTCCCCACAAATTGAGCTTTCTTTCGGTGGTATTTGATCGCCTGTGCGGTTTTTATTTTTTGCGCTATAAAAAAAAGGCTTTGAGGAAAAAAAAAACAATATTTTGGACTTTTTTCTATAAAACATGTCCAGTAAAAAAAAATACAAAAATCAAATTTAGTCATAAATTTCTGCCGAAATGCATTCTGCGCCATTTCTTTGCTAAAAAAAAAAAACTAATACGTGTAAATTAATTGATTTACGTGAAAGTTATAGCGTTTACAAATGGCGGGAAAGATACTGGGATTTTTAGGGTTTTTTTTATACTAATAATGGCGGCGATCAGCGAATTATGGCGGCGATCAGGGACTTATGGCAGCGACCAGCGACTTTATTGGCGGGACTGCGGCGGATATTATGACATTGGGGGGTACTGACTTGGGGTCACTGACATCCCCAAAAACACTAATACAGTGATCAGTGCAAAAAAAAAAAAAAAAACTGACACTGTACTAATGGCACTGGGGAGGAAGGGGTTAACTTTATTTTGCAGGGAAGGGTTATAGGAGTGAGGGGGAGTGTTTTACTAGAGGGCGGGGTGTGTGAGGGGGAGTGTTTTACTAGAGGGCGGGGGTGTGTGAGGGGGAGTGTTTTACTAGAGGGCGGGGGTGTGTGTGAGGGGGGGAGTGTTTTACTAGAGGGGGGGGTGTGTGAGGGGGAGTGTTTTACTAGGGGGCGGGGGTGTGTGGAGGGGGAGTGTTTTACTAGAGGGCGGGGGTGTGTGAGGGGGAGTGTTTTACTAGGGGGCGGGGGTGTGTGAGGGGGAGTGTTTTACTAGAGGACGGGGGTGTGTGAGGGGGAGTGTTTTACTAGGGGGCGGGGGTGTGTGAGGGGGAGTGTTTTACTAGGGGGCGGGGTGTGTGAGGGGGAGTGTTTTACTAGAGGGCGGGGGTGTGTGAGGGGGAGTGTTTTACTAGGGGGCGGGGGTGTGTGTGAGGGGGAGTGTTTTACTAGGGGCCAGGGGTGTGTGAGGGGGAGTGTTTTACTAGGGGGCGGGGGGGTGTGAGGGGGAGTGTTTTACTAGAGGGTGGGGGTGTGTGAGGGGAGAGTGTTTTACTAGGGGGCGGGGGTGTGTGAGGGGGAGTGTTTTACTAGAGGGCGGGGTGTGTGAGGGGGAGTGTTTTACTAGAGGGCGGGGTGTGTGAGGGGGAGTGTTTTACTAGAGGGTGGGGGTGTGTGAGGGGGAGTGTTTTACTAGGGGGCGGGGGTGTGTGAGGGGGAGTGTTTTTACTAGAGGGCGGGGGTGTGTGAGGGGGAGTGTTTTACTAGGGGGCGGGGGTGTGTGTGAGGGGGAGTGTTTTACTAGGGGGCGGGGGGGTGTGAGGGGGGGTGTTTTACTAGAGGGCGGGGGTGTGTGAGGGGGAGTGTTTTACTAGGGGGCGGGGGTGTGTGTGAGGGGGAGTGTTTTACTAGGGGGCGGGGTGTGTGCTGGACGGGACACCGCTGATCGAGAAAGAGAAAACTCTTCTTTCTCGATCAGCTCATCCTCGAGCTGACAGGGAAGTGACAGACAGCACAGCTACTGCAGCTGTGCTCTCTGTCACTGTTTGCCGCCGATCGCCGGAACATAGCCGCTAACGAGCGGCTGTGACCCGGCAACTGACATCTGCGGCGGTGATCCGCAGGACATAAAGGGCGGCTGCGCGCCTCGCGCGCGCCCCCTATTTGTTTACAAAACACACGTCTTAAAAAGTGGTTTTGCCTGCGAGTGCCGCCCTGCCGCCGTATATGTACAGTGGCTGGGTGGCATGCGGCTAGGCGCCTGCCTACAAGGTGCCTGTACTGACCATTGGAAACCATAGCACCTTCTTCTGACCCCCACATTACTGCTGAGTTCTGTAGTGTCATTGGGGTCAGAGGAAGGGAAATCAATCCATAGCTGGCTTTGTTGAATGTCAAGACACAAGCGGAGGTTGCAGCACAGGAACATGGGAAGATGGGGGACACGGAGTGCCAGAAGGTATAGGAGGTCTTCTTTTGCAGGAAGTCTTTAGTGACTTTATGGGGTTTATTGAACTCTTTTACTTCACCCCCTAAGCCACCGGCTCTAAGATGCTTAGCTGAATGTTAAACATTGAAGTATCCCCAACAAGGACATACTTACTGTATATAATCAAGTGCCGGAATCACTGGTGCCAACAGTCCTGTGCTGAGATCCCAGTGCTAACAATGAAAGACCTGGTCTAAAGGTACATTCATAAGAGGAGATCCACCCAAACCAGACAGTTAAGTGTCTTGTCTCTGCTGGTCCGGTGAGTACTCTCAGGAAATTGAATGAACAGTTGGGATGGATTTTCCAACCAGTCATTATTTTTCCTGATTTTAGTCAGCATTCAGGTTCTCGCTCCTCCATGGGCCGAAACAATGCTGGTAAAGTGATCATTCTGAAGATGCGAGGCTGGTCACCATCTTGCCATTGAAGCACGTTCCCAAGTCTGATAAGCACTCTTTAATGTCTATGAGCTTAGGGTTCAGGTCTAAGGAGGTTCTCCAGTGATAAGAGATATAATACCGTGTAATATTCGTTATTTTGAACACAATTTTAATCTCAGTCACTCAGCTTTTATTATGAGCCGTCCATCCATATCTGAAAAAAAACCTTTCCAATGTACACTGCTTTGTAAATGAAGCCTAAACTAATTCTATATACCTAAATCAATTAATCATTAAGCACATTTGGTAACAGAAAACTCAATATTCGTGTATAAAGTCCCAAAATAAGTCCCAAAAAATCTATATTGGTGTATAAAGTCCCAAAATAAGAGTCCAAAAAATCAAAATCCAAATAACTCCCAAAGAGATTATCTCTAAATCAATACTTTCTTAAATCTTCGTATCTTTAAACCGCCTTTTTTTGGTGTACTCCAAAAATAAATCTTCATATACCTCAAAGAAAAAAAACTCGACATAGTGCTTTATCCAAATAATATCCAAAATATAATAAAAGTGCCACACGTGTTACATGCAAAAACACTCCTGTGCCACAGCAACCGTGAGAGAAAATAAGTTCCCCACTACCCACAGGGATCCCTGTTGACAAAGTCCGGATGTGACGAAACGCGTCCAGGGCACGTGACGTGGTGACGTTCTGATGCTCTTCCGGAAGTGCTGTGGCGGCCATTTTTGTTCTTGGAACATGCGGCTGTGTATGCCCTGGAATCCTCCATACAGGTGTATGGTTAGTGGGGAACTTATTACCAATTACATATCCTTTCTCTGAAGTGGTATGCTGAGGATATTGTAACACCACTGAGGAGAGGCTCGATTGTGGAATCAATCGCTTTGTGTGTGGAAGCTGATCTCTTCTTATTTTAATGTAAGTTCCTATATTAAAGTACTGTGATTATTTATTATATACACTGATCCCTGGTCTGTTTATGAGGTCTATGGGAAGTGGTTGGAAAGGCTGAAGGAAAAAGGTTGGAATTAATCTCACCTATGGCTTGTGTTACTACCTTGAGGGTAATTATGCACTTCTGTTATTTGTGTGCAGTGAATAACATGTAAGGCAGAGGTATTTTCTCTCACGGTTGCTGTGGCACAGGAGTGTTTTTGCATGTAACACGTGTGGCACTTTTATTATATTTTGGATATTATTTGGATAAAGCACTATGTCGAGTTTTTTTTCTTTGAGGTATATGAAGATTTATTTTTGGAGTACACCAAAAAAGGCAGTTTGAAGATACGAAGATTTAAGAAAGTATTGATTTAGAGATAATCTCTTTGGGAGTTATTTGGATTTTGATTTTTTGGACTCTTATTTTGGGACTTTATACACCAATATAGATTTTTTGGGACTTATTTTGGGACTTTATACACGAATATTGAGTTTTCTGTTACCAAATGTGCTTAATGATTAATTGATTTATGTATGTACTTCAGGGGAAGGACGGTTAAAGTGACTTGGTGGGGTATTATAGTGAGAGCAGGTTAGTGCTGGATATCTAATATAATTCTATATACCACCATTAGCCAACACCAGTTCTGCCAGCATGTGATACCCCTCTCATCTGAAATAATGGAACAAAACTGCTTACTAATGTTGAAATTCAAAAAACAACACATAAAACAATGAAATACATTAACAAGCAAAACGTCCCACAAACGTTCGGATCTAATTGTTTGGAAATGAAGGTTAGACTTCCCCATGAAGTCACATTCACCCAACATTCACATCGACTCCTCAGTTTCAGGAGATCTCTCCATTACTGCCTGTGAAATTCACTTTCACGCCATGAGTTGCCGATATCTCTGGAAGGGTCCCTCAAGCCGCCATGAAATTCGGCTCTGATGGACCATCTCCTGAAAATCGGGCTTCTGTATTATTTTGTGCCAAGGTCATTATTCAGACATAATATCATCATGGTGCCCCTTGGTTCCATGAAAGGCTCGTCTATTCTGGTTGTGTTCAGTCTTTATAGAAGCCATGCTCTAGAACAGTTCTCAACAAAACGTTGTGTACAAACGTTGGTCCATGAAGTTGAGCTGTCAGTATGCCAAGGCACGATGCTTCTGTATTCCTGCTCCTGTACTCCTGTCTTTCTGATCTATAAAACCTTCGTGTTGAGTTCATTTCACGGTAGACATTTTCTGTATCCTTCTATTACCAGCCTACACGTCCAGACCGAGGTTGGTTTGTTTTCCCGTTTGGTAAGAACCCTTGGTGGATCTATTTAGCCAGTGCATTGCCGGCTCTGCTGGTGACCATTCTGATCTTCATGGATGAACAGATCACCGCCGTCATAGTCAACAGGAAGGAGAACAAGCTGAAGGTATGCCGTTCTCTTCACAACAAGGTAAAGTGTATGGAACCCAAAAGAATGAACTTCTCTTATTGGCTCCCATCAGAAAGATTTTGTTTTATCTGTTTGATAAGTGTTGATCTTGGCAACAATTCAGATCTGTCCCATGTCCTCTCCACACTCCCTGTATTGTCTCAAAGAGCTCTCCTAGTTCTTACCTTGGACTACAGAACGATCGGCCTTTATGTTGTGGAGATCTGAGAGTGGGAGTGGTTGAGTAACTTGGCAAAAGACAAACTGGGCAGGGCTGACACCACTCAGTCCATAGAAAAGCTGTGTGTTGTCAGCCTGCAGCAGGAGTTGCTGAGTGCATTTCTAGCAGATCAAAACATATTTTTCTCGACTTGGAGGTCCTGTATAGAGATAAAACACATGGATGGAAATGTGTACTTCAGATATGTACTGCAGATGTTTTATGTTTACTTTGCCTTGACATATGCTTTAAATATATGACATTTATCAAAGTGTCCATTATATGATTTAGTACGTTTAAAAAAAAACACTTTTGCAGTATAGTTTTTTTTTCTTTTCAGAAAGCCTGCGGGTATCACCTGGATCTCTTCTGGGTCGGCATCCTGATGGCTGTCTGCTCCTTCATGGGTCTTCCTTGGTATGTGGCAGCAACTGTCATCTCCATCGCTCACATTGACAGCTTGAAAATGGAGACAGAGACCAGCGCCCCCGGAGAACAGCCTCAGTTTTTAGGAGTGAGGTGAGTCAGTAACAGACTTATATGTTGTAGACATGACTTGTTTCCTGGAGGATCAGTTGTGTCCTTTCTCCTACCTGAGGTCTTTCATCTAGAGGAACTCCTGAGTAAGTGAACATCTACAGAGGTTGGACCAAAATACGGAAACACTCCATGATCTGCGGGTGTGAAAGTGACTCCATGTTTGCCGGTGAAAGCGGAAGTGATGGAACATTCTTTGGCTTCTACTGTGTGATGAGACACCTAGCTAACAGGTTGGAAGCTTTGCGTTACTCATTCGCTGCGTGCGCTGCTAGTAATACAGAGTCATGTCAGAGCTTGATGAGCTTCAAAGAGGGCGAATTGTTGGTGCCGCTTAGCTGGTGCCTCAGTCACCAATTTATTTGCCATGTTGCCAGGAACAGTGTCAAAGGTTATGGCGGTGTATACAGTTGTGACCCGGAATAAGAAAACAACAAAAGTGACTGCAGAGCTCAATCTCAGTCCAGGGAAGACTCAGTGAAGCTCAGTAAGCTCTGAAGTGACTTCATATTACTAGCCGCACACAGTGAATGAGGAAAGTGATGCTTCCCAACTGTTAGCTAGGTGTCTCATCACACAGTGGAAGTCAAAGAATGTTACATCACTTTCGCTTTCACCACCAAACATGGTGTCGCTTTCACACCTGCCAATCATGGAGTGTTTCTATATTTTGGTCCAACCTCTGTAGATGTTCACCTACTCAGGAGTTCCTCTAGATGAAAGTCCTCAAGTAGGAAAAAGGACACTAATGACCCTCCAGGAAACAAGTAATGTTTTTGTCTAACCCCAGTATATTCTATCTTTGGCTCCAGCATGCACCATATGTATGGAGGACAAGGGTCAAATGTACCACCTCATTGCCATCCTATCTCCACAACTCACACTAAATGTTGGAATGTTAGGTGTCTCCACGGCTCCTTTATGGGCTGAGCTGATTCAGATTTTGTGGATAACCCAACAAAAAGGCACTCTGCTTGAACATTGCTAAAGCAAACCTGGCTCCAAGGGTATGTCCCTGCAGGTCCATGCCAATCCCTTATAGTCCGTTCCTATGGTCTGTTGGGAACACCTGACGGAAGCTTCTGTGAAAGAACAAATCTTGACTCACAGCAATCATTTCCAGAGCTCTGAGTGAGATCAGGGACTGTGAATTCATATGGGCCGAGTTCAAAACCTCAGCAAAAGCAGCTGTGAAAAGTTGCAGCCAGAGGGAAGTTGGTGTTTCTTTCAATGACACTGCTGGTAGTCATTAGTGACAAATGTAGAGACCCGGCCCTAAGCAGCAGTGTCCCTAGACTACTAGAGTGCAGCTCGGCTCAAGTCACCTGATATAAATATGACCTTCTAGAAGGGTTCTTTCCTCCTTTACGGTACAGGGACGCACGTGACGCCCAAGCTATAACAAAATGGCAGCAAAGGCATCCAATGCATCCCTGAATCCAATTCAGCCAACTGCACAAAAAAAAAATGGCGACCGTCCCAACTTATAGCCAGCCTTAGCAGTAAGGTGCACATGGAAGGGTGATGCACATTGCACACGTGATGATAGCTGGGCGTCACGTGCGTCCTTTTACCTTTAAGGAGGGATGGGCTCCTCCAGGCCCACCTGCCCTTAACCTATCCATTGATATACAGTGGGGCAAAAAAGTATTTAGTCGCCACCAATTGTACAAGTTCTCCCACTTACAGAGATGAGAGAGGCCTGTAATTGGCATCATAGGGAGACCTCAACTATGAGAGACAAAATGAGAAAACAAATCCAGACAATCTCATTGGCTGATCTGGAAAGAATTTTTCTGCAAATTATGGTGGAAAATAAGTATTTGGTGAATATGAAAAGTTCATGTCAATACTTTGTTATATATCCTTTGTTGGCAATGACAGAGGTCAGACGTTTCCTGGAAGTCTTCACAAGGTTGGCACACACTGTTGCTGGTATGTTGGCCCATCCTCCATGCAGATCTCCTCCTCCATGCAGATCTCCTCTAGAGCAGTGATGTTTTGGGGCTGTCGCTGGGCAACACAGACTTTCAACTCCCTCCAAAGGTTTTCTATGGGGTTGAGATCTGGAGACTGGCTAGGCCACTCCAGGACCTTGAAATGCTTCTTACGAAGCCACTCCTTCGTTGCCCGGGCGGTATGTTTGGGGTCATTGTCATGTTGGAAGACCCAGCCACGTTTCATCTTCAATGCCCTTGCTGATGGAAGGAGGTTTGCACTCACAATCTCACGATACATGGCCCCATTCATTCTGTCCTGTACATGGATCAGTCGTCCTGGTCCCTTTGTGGAGAAACAGCCCCAAAGCATGATGTTGCCACCCCCATGCTTCACAGTAGGTATGGTGTTCTTTGGATGCAACTCAGCATTCTCTCTCCTCCAAACATGACGAGTTGTGTTTCTACCAAACAGTTCTATTTTGGTTTCATCTGACCATATGACATTCTCCCAATCCTCTTCTGGATCATCCAAATGCTCTCTAGCAAACTTCAGAGGGGCCCCGGACATGTACTGGCTTAAGCAGGGGGCCACGTCTGGCACTGCAGGATCTGAGTCCCTGGCGGCGTAGTGTGTTACTGATGGTAGCCTTTGTTACATTGGTCCCAGCTCTCTGCAGGTCATTCACTAGGTCCCCCCGTGTGGTCCTGGGATTTTTGCTCACCGTTCTTGTGATCATTTTGACCCCACGGGGTGAGATCTTGCGTGGAGCCCCAGATGGAGGGAGATTATCAGTGGTCTTGTATGTCTTACATTTTCTAATTATTGCTCCCACAGTTGATTTGTTCACACCAAGCTGCTTGCCTATTGCAGACTCAGTCTTCCCAGCCTGGTGCAGGTCTACAATTTTGTTTCTGGTGTCCTTCGACAGCTCTTTGGTCTTCACCATAGTGGAGTTTGGAGTGTGACTGTTTGAGGTTGTGGACAGGTGTCTTTTATACTGATAACAAGTTCAAACAGGTGCCATTGATACAGGTAATGAGTGCAGGAGGAGGAGCCTCTTAAAGAAGAAGGTCCAGGTCTGTGAGAGACAGAAATCTTGCTTGTTTGTAGGTGACCAAATACTTATTTTCCACCATAATTTGCAAATAAATTCTTTCCAGATCAGCCAATGAGATTGTCTGGATTTGTTTTCTCATTTTGTCTCTCATAGTTGAGGTCTCCCTATGATGCCAATTACAGGCCTCTCTCATCTCTCTAAGTAGGAGAACTTGCACCATTGGTGGGGACTAAGTACTTTTTTGCCCCACTGTATGTGCTCCTACTATGGAGGCTCTGGAAATGTTAGAGTTAGGTCCACAGTATACGGAGGACCCTGTACACGGGACTGCGGCTAACACATGTATCTGCAAATGTGTGCAAACAAAACCCTGTTTATAATGCAGACTTATAGACAGGCCATATTGGTTGTTTTCCAGGCTGGCTGGAAGTGCTGCTGGGAAATCCTTTGTCTGTGATGTGCGTTATCCTTCCATTTGCACCTTACTGCTAAGGCTGGTTATAGGTCGGGACGGTCGGTTTTTTTTTGGAGACGTTCACTGTGTTTATTGCAATAGGTTTCCATTTCAAATTCAAATTAATTTTCAAATTCGAATTCAAATAATGTATTTCCTTACCATTTATTTCAGATTTGTTGAAATTTTGTTACTTTTGTGATTCAGAAATGATGATACATCCAAATCTCCGGATAATGAAACTTTTGTCAGAATTTTGATTTGTTATGAACATCACACACGTCTATCAATGGATTGCTGTGTCCTGGAGAGCTGGCTTCTCTCTGCTGCCAGTGGACATTGCAGGGGGTCCATGACTACTTGCTCCTTGGGGTACGAGTGCTGCCTGAATGAAGAGCACAGAGCGCCGTTTTCGGCTTGAAGGCCCTTTTCTCTATAGTGACTGTGGCTAGAGGTCCCCCTAAAGCCTCTCCCCGACTTTATTGTACATAATAAACTTCTTAAAGTTACTGGTATCCACTGTTTCCACCCACAAATAGTCAATGATTCTGCCCTGGGGTTTGATAAGCCGTCCCGCTGAGCTGCCTGGGGGTCCCTATCTGCCTCCCAGGGGTGAAGAGGAGTTAGATAAGGGAAGCTGTCAGGGTGAAGGAAGGCTTTAGAGCAGATTTTGGTCTCCAGAGTCATCAGAGAGATATTGGAGGTTGAAGGAAGTAGCAGCAGGAGATCTTACAGAAGCAAAGGTTCAGGAATTCAATGATTGGGAAACAAAGACTATCAGACTGCCCACACGGTTTTTTCTGAGAAAAGGTTTGGTGTCTTGTGAAGGAGGGTGGAACCTCACATGTGCAAAGCAAAAGCAGGAAAATGTTGAACATTACTAAGAATTTAGGAAAAAGCACCCCGAGAAACTTCTATACCTGGTGACTGACCCCCCAAAGGGAGAGGCAAAGCTGGAAATCTGGATTGATATGGAAGGTATCATTGAACTGCAGTAGCTGAATGTCTGCAGAGTGGGAATGCTGAAGCGATGGAGGAGTATGAAATCTGAGAGGAGAAATGGCATTTTCCCAAGAGATTATATCATGGATTTGGGAATATAGAGGTTCAGTGTACATATTGCATTCAGAAGGATATACAAACACTCATCATTACATCATTTATAGGAGGCGCCACCGATTAATGAACAATGAGGCAGCTTTTCCAGTCTAAACATTTCATAAAGGTAGTCATGGGTTAGGGGGACCCGTCTCTGTGATGGGGCGAGGGGTGGATGCTACTCCAGGAGAACCTCGGTGAAGATTGATGATGAATACCATTGAGGACCTCCAGTAGGAGTACAAGGAAAGTTTAACTTCAAGAAGCCCCAAGATCAGGCCAAGAACACGCGGCCTTTGTAGTCTGAACTCATTTTGTAACCAAGGTGCTGGGTGCTACTTACCCTCATCCTGGTAGTTCAGTGTATATATATATATAATGTGCATAGTGTAGCCATGGACTTTCTAGAGGGACGTATACAGGTGAAACTGGA